CGATAAAGTTCAATACTGTGCATGTTGTTTGACGTTCCTAACAGAACCCAACAAATGAGGCGCTCAATTTCGTCCTTGAGATGTCGACAGTCTTCAGTAGTATGGCCATAATCTTTGTCGAAGCGGCAATATCTCCTCGACTTCGGTTAGGTTGGCCCTTCGAACCTCGACCTCGGCCACGTCACATCTTTCCCATCTATCCCTTTCTCTATGGCCATCAAGACCTCGGCTACCTTCGCGTTCAACGGGGTAATCATGGAATCTTTTCCCTCTAGAGATAGGTCGGTCCTTCCATCTGTCCTCTCGTCCTCGATCCTACTTAGCTCGCCCCTCTCTCCTGGGCGAGGCTCTCCTTTTAGGTGACATTGCTTTCTCCTTCCTCGACTCCCCTCGACCAACTCCTCTAGTTTGGCAAACTCTGCCTCGGTCTCCTCGAGATTAATATATATCCTACACCTCCTCAACACCTCATCATACGTATGAGCAGGGGTCTTAGCCAGAGAAGTCCGACATGGTCCTGCCTGCAAACTTCTAATCAATCCTCCCGCCTTGACCTCATCGACCGCCGACAGAATCTCCAAGCAAGCCTGGTTGTATCGAGCTACATATTTGCGCAGTGACTTCTTCTCGCCTTGTCTCATCGCCATAAGTGTTAAGTACGTTTTCTCCTGAGCTACTGCGCTCGAATATTGATTTGTCAACTTCTCCGCAAAATCCTCGAAGTCCACAATCGAGCCTGGGGGGAGCTGTTGGAACCAGTCGAGCGCGCCTCCCCTGAGGGTCGATAAGAAGGCCCTGCAACTAACGGGATCAGTATATCCATGTAACACAGCCATATTTTCGAATGTTCTCACGTGTCTCGACGGGTCAGAAGTCCCATCGAACACCAAGTTGGTATCCTTGTAATTATTTGGCAAGGGTGTTGCTAGTATGTCCGCCGAGAACGGGTGTCCTCGAGCGCGTCTCTCCGCTCGACCATCCACCTTAGCCTACAATTGACACTGCTGTTCCGCCATTCTCTCCATCTCTCGGTCATTTGGGGGCCCGCCTTCACCATAGCTAGATTCATCCTCCTCCGCATTTTGGTGTGACCCTGCAACAGTGTTCGACATCGCGGTAGCCCGAGAGAGACTATTTGTGACTTGCTGCACCGCCTGCGCAGCTGCCTCCGCCACCATTTGTTGCATCTCCTGCCTGGTCATCACCATCTGCTGGCCGGGGACTTGCAGCCGTTGCCTGTGGTGGTGCTCCTCCTTGTCCCGCTGCTCCTCCGGGTTGTGCCGCCGCTCCTCCCGGTGGCGCTACCGCTGGGTTTTGTGGCGGCGGTGGTGGCATCGCTGTCGCATCTGCTGCGCGAGTCTCCTGGGCCCGGTTGGAGCCGACATCTCCTCCAGGAATCGCTGTCGTCCCTCCTACACCTTGAAGAACCGGCGTAGGAGTGATCGGCGTCTGCGATGGGCCAGAAAAACCCGGAGGAGGGCCTTGTCCAAATGGCCTGATCGCCGTCCAAGTTTCGTCGAACGTCGACTGCAAGTTTTTGGGGATTCCGTCCACCATAGCTGAACTTCAAACACAACTTTTCAAACGGAAGTACCACAGACGGCGCCAAATGGTAACACAAAACTTCCCGACCGGCTGGAACTTGAATAATCGCCTTCCTTCTTGCCGGTTGAACGTCGTGCACCTACAAAGAACTCTCACACTGGAGGGGTTTTCCGGTGAAGAGCCTCCGAAGCTTAAGTCAGTGTATGTTCAATCAATTCTTAAGAGTAAGCAATGGAATGATCGTGTTGAAGAAGAAAGGCTCACCCTGTAACGCCCCGTATTTTTATTAATAAAGGAAATACTATCTTTTAGTTTTTAAGCTGGCCTTTGTTAATAAATAATCATGTTCATGTTCAAGTTCAGGTTAATCGGTAAGTTATATTCCAAGTTCGACTGTTAGTCGATAAATTATTCAGTTTAATTAGTTAGAAACCGAATAAGTTTTCAAATTTAATTCTGATTCGTTATTAAATTAATGAGTATGGAATTAATTATTCAGTCAGCGCTATCCCGTCATGTTAATCGTGTTTTAGTTCCGATATAATAATGTTATCGATTATTATTTTCAGAATTAATTATTTTCAGTCGAGATTACCGAAAATTATTTTCGACGTCCCGTTTACGTTCGGAATAATTTTGATAATTTAGCAATATGCTTAGTAATTAATTAAGCATAATGTAATGATTAATTAATAATTAATCACACTTAATTTGCTAAAGGCCGTGAGCAATTAGTCAATTAGAAGTCATGAAATTCTCCCAATTTAAGTTGCAAAACGTGAGCAATTAGTGGGAAATGTCATGTATTAGTAATCATATAACAAGCTTAATCTATTAATTATGCATGGGCAAATAATTAAGCAAGTTTATGGTGCTTAATTAAGCATTTTAGTCACACTTAAGGAAATGGGAAGTGTTCAAATGCCGTAAGCCTTGGAGCAAATAATTCATGTGAAGCTTCCTAATTTCTTAGCATGAGGTGGCTTATTCTTAAGGCTTAAGTGGTGACTAAGCCAATTAATTGATGACTTTGCAAGTAGTAGTACACTTCATGCCTTAAGAGCAAAGCAAATGGAACCTTTTCATTGGTCATGAATTTATCTTCATTCGGTTATATAGATGATGGAGTTGGAGGAAAAATTGATCTCATACTCCACTTACCTTACAAGCATAGAATTGGATATAATTACCCAAGTTAAGAGTACCGCACGCAAGAGAAGAAGGAAGCAACCACGTACGCATGAGCAAAATACCGAGCGAAAGTTATCGAGAGTTTGAGGAGGTTATCATGTACTAACCCTCTTTTGATGTCAATCTGCTCATGTTACGTTTAGTATGTCTAAGTCATGTCAATCAGGTTATGCTAAGTCCAAGATAAGTTCAGTTTAAGTTAATTCAAGCTATGCCGAGCCATGTTCGGTTTTATTCGACAACTTCTGAGCAACTTTCGTTCCTTTAGTCATTATTTGATTCATTATGTTCAGTTAAGTAAGGTTTGTCGAGGAAAGTCATCGTTTTGCCGTAGGTTGGCCAAAGCCGTCGGGCACCGCACGTAGCGGAAGCCACGGCCTTTACTATTGCTCGAGTTATGTTCATGTCATATGACCATGTTATGTATAACCTTTCATGTTATAATCAGTTAAAGTGATTCATGTGTTATTCGGTCGGGAGAATTGTTAAATGGCCGAACATATCGGCCGTAGCGTCGGGTCGCGTTTACGCGCACGCTACAACCCTTTTTCCAAGTCATGTTCATGTCTTGTTCATGCAATTTCATGATATTATGTGTTTATAAGCATGTCAAGTCA